TCGTGTAGGTAGCTAGCTTTCCGACCAGAGACGCCAATTTGCCGGAGCTGCTGAGGAGTTAAAGCCAAGACGGTTTCCGGGACGCCTCCGTTTTCGCCGCCGCAGAGAGCCACGAAGCGCGTGTAGATGGAGTTTCCGGCTTTTGCGGCTAGTTGCTGATACAGGATGCTTCGTATCAGAGCCAAGAACGGAGTTTGGAACGACTCGAAAGTCGGCGGCGGATACCAGAGACGCCAATTTGCCGGAGCTGCTGAGGAGTTAAAGCCAAGACGGTTTCCGGGACGCCTCCGTTTTCGCCGCCGCAGAGAGCCACGAAGCGCGTGTAGATGGAGTTTCCGGCTTTTGCGGCTAGTTGCTGATACAGGATGCTTCGTATCAGAGCCAAGAACGGAGTTTGGAACGACTCGAAAGTCGGCGGCGGATGAACGTCGATTAACGGCGCGAGAAGCGGATCCACATGTCGGAGATGGCGGATCGCCGCCTCAAGCTCGCCTTCGCAGGTAAGCGGCCTCGCCATGATCCGCGGAAGGGTTACGGCCCGAAACTGCGACGGTTTGCCCTTCGCGGCGGTTAACTGTCGACTCGACGGCGGCGTCGCCATATTCTCAGTCTTACAGCCGACGTGAGCGATCATAGCTCCGGAAGAGGCGGCGTCAGGTGAGAGCTTCCGGATTTTCCGAGGACGGAGGGGGATTTTCGACGGCGGAGACGACGCATTGGCCAATTCCGTGACCCGTTGAGCTTCGATGGTGGTTGATGAGAGGAGGGTACCAGAAGCTGCGGCGGAGACGTTGGATTCCCCGGTGGGTTCCGGCGAAATCGGATTATGGGTTTCGGGTTTGGGTGATTGGGCTCGATTTTGGGTGTGTGGAGATGGCTGAGAAGGGGATTGTTCGCCCATGTGAGACCGAAATCAAAACCAGACGGAGAAATTAGGGTTTTGGGGAACAGAAACGGAGAATCGAAGATCTACTCGGAGGAAGGAAACTCTCCGCTGAGAAACCATGTAATTCGTCTGCTCATCTCTGAGTGAAGCTGAGTCTTTGGGAAAGAAAAGAAGAGTTGGCTCTCGACGATGTCTCTTCTCTTACGCGCTCTAGAGGAGGTTGACTCTCACGCGCATATTGGGCTCGTTTGGGCCTGGGCCTTCATTTTTAAATCCATTCGGTTTTTCATATTACAAATGGGCACAGAATGAAAACCCAACTTTAGAAAAGAAAAAAAAAAGTCAGTAACAGACATATTTTCAGGAAATGAATATTATTGTTAATTTGTTAACACACATATTTTTGTATTTTTATTGCATATTATCGTCTTAATAATAAGTTCACACAAGTTTATATATATTTTTTTATCCGTCTGTAACATTTTATAGGTTATAAGGGTCAGAAGGGAAAAAAAAAAGATTCCATATATATTTGTGATGATCCTTTTTCTGCCTCTCTATGCATGCATGTGTATATATAAGCCTTTTTGAGTGCGTGTGTGTATATACAAAATGTGGATGGCCATATATTGGGACATATTCTATTATTTCATACGTAGAGTGGTTGAGCCCCACAATATTCGATAACATCGATTTGTCGTCAATTCGATTTTTTCGGTTATTTTTTTATTCGGTTCGGTTTGGTTTAGATTCGGGTTTTTTTGTTGTTTAGATGATTTTTATGTCAGATTCTATTTAGTTACGGTTGTGTCTTTTTCCATTCAAATTGGTTCGATTATTGGGTTTATAACCAAAGTTACGATCCAAGTCGATGTCATTGTCAGGAATAGGCGTTTCGTTTCGGTTCTTCGGAATTGATCCGTACCGAACCAAAAATTTCGCTATTTTTTTCGAATCGTACCATTCAAAATTTTTGAATAGTATGATTTTTATAGAACCAAATTTTCCGAAACCGAACCGAACCTTATAAAATTTTCGAAAAACCGAAATTTTCTTAAGAAAATCTAAATTTTTTAACAAAAAACGAAATCGAACCGTACAAGTACCGAAACCGAATCGAATTGAATAATATACGGTATTAATTTGATACAAATTTTAAAATACCGAATAAACCATTTTTAAATCGAACTGCTAAAATTCCGACCCGAATTTTGGAACGCCCTCCCTACCAGAGATGAGGTAAGTCTACGGAAACGTCGACAGAAATCTAAGTGTAGGTTTATAAGTAGTGGTAATTTCGTAAATATAAATTAACTGGAGAGTATTTTGGGATTTTGCGGATTAAATATTATTGACAATGATTATATGTAATGTAATTTAGTAATTTTGTGTATTGCCTTTTACTCGTACGTATAATTTGACCCGGGAAAAATAAATTTACGGAACCGAGAGAGGCTTGGGATTAACAGAGTGATACGTGAGCGACAATTTGGCGATGTCCGAAACGGCTGCGTTTCGAATCTCCGGCGAGTCACTGACGAGAAACTCGTACGCCGCTTCGAAAGCCTCTCGCCAGAACCTCGGCAGCCTGGATCCGGCGGCGCGTGTGTACACGTCCCACATCTTCCTCACCACCTTCTCTCTCTCCTCCACTTCCTGTAAATGTTTTCGTTCATATTATAATTAACTAATACAATCACAAAACCATACCAATTTGATTGGTTGGTTCATATAAATGCACATGTTTGAGATTTTAGATACGAATTCCGCTACAGAAAAACCAATTTGACCAAACGGAATAATACATAAATATACAGAAGAAATAAATATATAATAAAATCGAAAAGAATATATTCAAACTAAATCTAAAATTTTAAAAATAACCAAATAAAATAAAGATCTTCTTTGAAAAATAAATACTTTATTGATAGAAATTGAATTTGAAATATGAACAAAAACCGAATGAAATCCACGTAAGCAGAACAAAAAACCAAATCCCAACAATTACCCCAATTTCCCCTCTAACCCGTGAATGCATAAATTACCTAACAACAAATCAACAAGTTGCCCACCCGCTAATATGCCCTCATGTATTACTGTTAACTTATATATATATATATATTGAGAGAGAGGAGTAACAGTACGAGGATGTCGAGCTCGCCGCCGCCGGAAAACCCGTTCACGCCGGAAAGATAACATAGATATCTACCGCGGCCGCCGTCGCATCCGCCGAAGAAGCCTTTGAGGGTGACGGAGCTGGTGAAAACGGACCACAGAGCCAAGAAGAGAATCGCCGCCAACAGCCATATCTTGAAGCCTGTGATGATTCTTCCGGCCACCGGATATTTCGTTCTTCCGGCGGAGAAGGTCAACGACGGTGGAGACGTCGTCAGAGATTCTTCGTCCTTCATTTCCTCTGGCCTTCGGACCAAACACAGTTTCTTTTTTTCTTTTGCCTTTTTGTTGGATCTTTAATTAGTCGTTGAAGAACGAAAGTCTATGTTTGAAAGAGACGAGTTCGGTGCAGTGTCACTAACCTTTCAAGTGGAGCGTCCACGGTTTATAGGATTTTGAGGAGAACTAACAAAAATATGTTTATTTATTTATTTATTTATTTATTTATTTATTATTGTATTAAAACGTAGAGGATTAAAAAACTCGAAAAAGAGAAAAGTAAAATCCCATTTTCAAAAGGAAATAAAACGAGACTTAGACCGGCAATGTTTCAAGTATTTTAAGCAATCCATAATTAGAATTAAATACTTTAGGTTCACATATTTATCACCCAAAACAAATCGAATACTAAATAAATTTAAAGGAGACAAATTTGAAAGAAAAAAAATTAGATATGATATCGAATAAAAATAAAAAAATCAAATAAATTAATAAACAGATCTTTAGTCGAATGTAAATGAACATAAAAGACCTAAGACTATAGTTTTTATAAAGCTACAAATTTAAATAAAAAATAACCAAACCGTACAACGGCCAAATACATCTATTGATGAAAGGAGATTATACATCATTACATTTAGAAAAATCCTTACCGAGGAAAATGGTTCATATACTTGTATTTACACATGAAATATTCGGAATTCTACGAATATTATTCAGATTTTCAACTAGTAAGGGATGAGACAAAGCTTTTTTTAAACTCAAGTTCGAATCTCCATTCGAAAAAATATAATTATCTCGACTTTTCCGGTTTTTTGAAAGTTACGGTTGAGCCAAATATATGATTAACTTACAGATTATAGAGAAAAAAATGCAACTTAGTTTTTTTCCATATAATTGCAATTAACAATGTATATTTTGTGCTTAAACTTGATTATTTATTCAATTTGAATCTGTTTACTTTCGATCTTGTTCCAAAATATATATATATATATATATATATATATATATATAATTTTTACAAAAAAAAATATATTTTTTTTGTTTTAAATTCGATTAATTTAATTCAAATAAAGTCATAATTATTGATTTTAGATTAAATCTGATTTTCATACGATTTTATATGTACAAAACAAAATATAGAATACCACTTTGTTTTGAATCTTTTAAGCAAATGTATGATTTTAGTACTTATTCGTTAGTACGAAATGCAGCGTGACAGTGTATGCGTGTAAAGAGTCAAAACAACGAATTATATTCAACATCACAGTCAACACCCACGCCGCAGTTGACTTTACGTTGACTTAACGCGTTCATAATCTCGTCAAGTTGCATGTATTAATTTAAGAATGTCGAGACTTATATTGACGGTGGATAAAGTCAACACAGTAAGAGAATAAAGAAGCAGCTGTATCCAAACAGCCCGAACACGAGGATTGAAACCCAAAAACCGAACGGTTCTGGATTGGGACAAAACAGACCGGTTGAACCGCAAATTTTGTTCTGTCCGGTTAAGTGTTGGCAAGAAACAGACCGGTTAGATTGGTTCCAAAATTTTCTTGAATTGTGATTTTATGTTCATAAAATTAGAAAATCACCCACCAACTAACGTTAATTTATTTAGCATTCTACACCGAACAAGAAAACAAAACGGTAATTGTACGTCCATCCGTTTCCTAAACATGTTCTTAGCGCTTTTAATTAATTTCATGATTGATTTTGTCTACGATTATATTCCGTGAAGAGAAAACGATATTCCATTTTCGAATATGTTACAAACTTTGACATTTATTGAGGTCGATAGCTTCTTTCTGGTTGACTCGAAATCGCGAAATAGAGATCAATATATTCTCAAATCTTATGGACCGCCATATATAACGTGAGAGAATATCGATCGTAAAATATATTGACTCGAAAAGATTTTGAGATATAAAGCTTAATATTCTTAACATTGGGACCATAAGATAAGACTCCAAGAGTCAACCAACAAGAGGATATATATATATCGACCGACCCGAAAGATTTCATGGTTGAAAAACATGTCTCAGCACATGAAATATGGCTTTTTTTGCCGTTTATACAATCCAAATGGATATGATGGAATATGTTTGGACTTCCGACCTCACCAGAATCAACCATATTCTCTTCTTTAGGGATACGCTCCTGCTCCTGGTGAATTGGTTGAGTATTAAATCCTTTAACCTCAATGTTAGGGCCGGTTCGAATACTCTTAATCTCTTCATCTACGAGTTGGATAATCTACGTTGGTTTATATCTTTCGTTAACTATTGTTGGAGATTTACCTAATGCGCACACACATTATAAAAGAAATCGTATTCTTCTTTATGGGCATGAAAAGAGTACTAGAATAAATTCCAACATGGCCAATGCGTGCACACGTTACGTTACATTTGGTCAAACAACGTATTATTTACGTATTGCACACACGCTGAAATTAAAACGCCTATAAATACACATTGCATTGATAGGCAGAGAGAGAGAGAGATCCCAAACATATACTCAGACAAGAACCCTAATATATAGTTAGAGATTATTTGGTAAGAGAAAAAGAAGAAGAAGAAGAAGAAGAAGAAGAAGAGAAGACATGAAGAAATGAGGAATTGGTTTGATAGCCAAGGATGACTTGCCTGCTCCCTATGCAGCTAATTTAAATATTTTATTTTTTTGCATAATTTTTCTAAATTATTTTGGGCTTTGTGGTCAGGCAGTCTCCTTGGCTATTCAGACACTCCTCTTTCTCCTCATGTCACGCTCCTTCTTATAACAACATTTTTATTGCAATGTTGTATATTTAATGATGTTTTAATCTCCATATCTATTAGATTTTTGTTGAAGTATTATAGCATTTTTATCTCTATATATATATTTAAATATTCACACTCATATTTACCCAAATTAACCAAACCATCCAACAACAGTGTCCAGATCTTCACCCAATCTCTTCGGTTTCCATCTTTACATGAAGCTTTTACTTCCATTTTGTTTTTACCAATTCTTCCTCTCTAAACTCTAACATAACAACAAATAAAGAAATCTAGATCCACACCCAAAAAAATAATAATAATAATTTACACTAACGATCTCCACCATCTTGATGATTCTTCATATCCGAAGGAGGCAAGAAACTCTCCAAAGACAAACCACAAATATTAAAGTCAACCTCTTCGATCCTCCACGTCTCTTCTATCCTTCTCCGGTGGTTTACGGCGCCGCCGTAACGGTTTAACGTCGTCACCGTCCGACCCCCGTGGCCAATGTTAACGGCGTCGATGAATCTGTAGTCCTCGATGACGGATTCCACGCTCGTCTCCCAGAAAACCCCGTTGTTGTTGTTTTTGTGGTTGTTGCTGCTGCGCAAGGACTTGACCTGCACGAGTTTGGTGTCGCCGAACTTGACGAGCAGGCCCGTTCGCTGGCTGAAGTATCCCCACACGCTGTGGTGCATGACCTCGGTGTTGGGCGAGCACTGAGCCTTCAGGACGTCGGAGGGCGTCTCGAGCTTTAGGACGAAGCAGTCTTCTCCGTTCACGGATTGTTCCCCGATGCATACCGCGTCTAGGAAGAGACTGGCCGTACACCTCGGGTCTAGTCCCTGCGTATGCATGAGAGTTTCTACGGTTTTAGAAATATCGAAATCAGTAAATCGAATATATATATTGCTTATAATAGTAATCTATTCCAAGTTATATTGTAGGATGACACTAAAAGAAAACTTCATGTGTTTGTAGGAATTGCGTTATTTCAACGTATTAGAAGGGTGTACCTGAAAAAAGCGACGGAGCGGGCGGGGAGGGCCGCGATGGGCATGTGACGGCTGGGCGGAGGACTGGTTCCAAGCCACCTTGCCGTCACTGCCCGCACTGATCTTGAAACCCGAAACCACGAGCTCCAAGAACCAGAGGTTCGGGTTCTTCTGCCAAAGCACAAACCCTCCAACCTCGAAAGCACTTCCTCCTTTGGCAGGCCGCCCGGCCGTGGCCGTGGCCTCGGCCTCTCCCAATTGCATCTCGGAGCCGTGCATCTTCACCTGCCCGACGGCGTACATGCTCTTCACTCCATTCAACGCCGCTGGACCTCCGCACGCTGCTACGTACTGCTGCACTATGTACTTCGCTGTCGACGCCTCCTGTCAAGTATTAATTTATACACGAGTGAGTACGTAGTCTGGTTTTTGTTGTATTAGTTGCATATATGGTTACAAAAACATAATGTAGGGTTTAAGTAAATATGATTTGTAATAAACGGTTCCACATTGATTGCTTTCATTGATTATCTTGAATTATCAACATATTTGGAGTATAATTAAGATCAAGACTTTAGGATAAATTTCTAGGACAAAAGTTATAGATAATGCAACGTTACGTTCGTCAGATGATTTATTGTCGTGGATTTGTAAGAATGCTTATGACTTAAGGTAAACCTTAATAGATACATGAAAGTATCCTCAACCCTTTCATGTACAGAAATCATCATCGGAACGTAAATATGGCCAAAATCAAGCAATCCCCAACAAAGAAACAAACCCTATATATAGAGATAAATGAATCGAGAAAGGAGAGAAAATGCAAGAACTCAGAACCTATGAACTTATATCTAATGCGTGTCTCGATGACAAAGGTCGCAGATTCAAACAATTCCTAAGAGAAATGGTTCGTCATGGATTAATTTATGCGTACGTACGATGGAAGAATCGTTGATGGGTCTCGAGAGACAACATTCAAGAGGGACTTGAAATGGGATCAGGGGGCTTCCGACAATCTTGAGCAAAGCCACGAACTCGTTGTCGGATTTGGACTGAAGATGATGATTCTGTGGTGCGGCGGCGGAGGATCTGTCTCCTCCGCCGGTGGCGAAGGTGGCAGCGGCGGCGGCTTTCATGAGAGCATGCATGTTACGCCACCGTACGGCGGCGTTGTTCCCCATCTTCGTGAACATCTCCTCCGGTACCGGAACTTCCAACACCGTCTCCAACCCATCTTCTCTGTCCAGATTCGGACACAGCTTCCTCATCCTCTTAAGTTTTCTATATATTTCTTTGGAGTTTTTTCTATGGATGGTGTGGTATTTTTGGGATGATCTTGAGAGAGAGAGAGATAGCGGAGCTTAGGGTTTCCCTTTTTCTCTGATTTTTGTTGGAGATCGATCAACGAGATAGATTTTGAAGGATCAAGAATATGACAATTTTTTTTATAAAAAAAATTTGTTTTTTGGTGTTCTGGTATTGGCAGGCTTGTAAATTTAGGAGTTCCTTGCGCGTAGCTATCGTGTAAGCACGATTTTCGGAAGATCATATAAATATTACATTTTATAGTTTATTATATTATATACTATATAACTTACTCACAGACATATATTTATACACCCCCGCATTATATGTATATATACACATACACACACGGATACATTATATTACGTTTTTTCTAAAGAATTTCAAGATGAGATTTTTGGTTTAGAACAGAAGGAGAAGATTGAATGAAGAAGAACAGAAGCTACGAATATGCAGAACAATTCAGAAAAGGAATTGTCTCTTATTCTTACTTTTCTCACAAAGAAACATTTACATAATATAGACTTTCTTAGTCTACAAGAAAAGGAAGGTACGTTGTAGAATATACAATCAAAGATATTTACCATATAGACTGATTAAATTATGCCTTAATATATTACATATAAAGATCTTCATCAGAAGAATGCGATTCTCCTCCAAATACTCTCTTTGCTTCTGAAGATTTGCTCTGTTGCGTGTTGGTTAAGTTATCCAAGTTGTCCTTGTCTCGAGTGCAACTCTCGGTTGGTTGATCTTCTTGTATGTGCGATTTGGTTTGTTCTTCAACATTCCCCCTCAAGATTGGTCGGCGATATTCGGTAAGACCAATCTTGAAGAGTACTTTGTTAAGAACAAATGAACTTGTCGCCTTGGTAAAGATGTCGGCTAGTTGGTCGGCACTTCTCGTATACATCGGAGATATAGTCCCGTTTGTGATATTTTCTCTTATGAAGTGGCAGTCAACTTCAATGTGTTTCGTCCTCTCATGAAATACGGAGTTGGCTGCGATGTGTAGAGCGGCTTGGTTGTCACAGTGAAGTGGAATCGGTCTTGTCGAGTCGATTCCAAGATCTTTCAAAAGTTGTTTCAACCATATGATCTCGCTTGTGGTGTTTACCATGGCTCGGTATTCGGCTTCTGCGCTTGATCTTGCGACCACGGTTTGTTTCTTGCTCTTCCAAGTGACAAGATTGCCTCCAAGGAATGTGCAATACCCGGTTGTCGACTTGCGATCCGTCCTATCTCCCGCCCAGTCCGCATCGCAATATCCAATGATCTCTGTATGCTTGTTGCTCCTCATCCATAGACCTTTGTTCGGTGTTCCTTTCAAATACTTTAGTATCCGGTCCACCATTTGCCAGTGAGTCGTAGTTGGTCCGTGTATCCATTGACTAACCTGATGCACAGCAAAACTCAAGTCAGGTCGTGTAATTGTGAGATATATGAGCTTACCTACAACACGACGATATTGCTCCGCATTATCAAGTGATTCCCCCTCGCGTTGATCTTTGAAATGCTCCTCAATCGGTGTGCGAACGAGCTTGGCTCCAAGTTTTCCTGTCTCACTAAGTAGATCAAGAACATATTTTCGTTGTGAAAGAAAAATATCATGTGAATCTCTAGTAACTTCTAAACCAAGAAAATATTGAAGATGACCAAGATCTTTAATATCAAACACGGTTTTTAAGTATATTTTTGTGTCCTCAATACCACGTGTATCACTTTCCGTAAGTATAATATCGTCGACATAGACCAAGAGAACGATGATACCCGTGTCGGTGTGATGAATAAATAAGGAGTGATCGGAATGACTACGCTTGAAACCTCGCGTTATGAGAGCATCATGTAATTTTTGGTACCACGCGCGCGGAGATTGTTTCAATCCGTAGATAGCCTTGTTCAAACGACAAACTCGGTTGTCATGAGTATAACCCGGCGGTGGCTGCATGAAAATTTCCTCATCGAGATCACCTTGAAGAAAAACATTTTTGACATCGAGCTGCCACAAAGACCAACATAAGTTAGCAGCAAGAGAAAGTATAACACGAATAGATGAAATTTTAGCTACGGGAGCAAAGGTATCTGTGTAATCTTCTCCGTAAGTTTGAGTGAAACCCTTGGCGACCAACCGAGCTTTGTATCATTCTATTTCCCCGTTACTATGGTATTTGATTTTATAAACCCATTTTGATCCGATGGCTTTCTTTTCGCGGGGTAACTCGGTGAGCTGCCAAGTACCGTTACGTTCCAATGCTTCGATCTCCTCTTGCATGGCTGTAACCCACAGTGGAGATGTCTTGGCTTGATCATATGTTTGAGGCTCAGAATCCTGCATAATAGTGCTTAAGAACGATACGACATTAGGTGGAAAATCATGCAAGGAAGCAAGAGGATGAATGAAATGTGCCACGTTGGATAATTGACTTTTTGCATTAGCCAACACTTTCCAAGTTGGCTTTCGATCTCGTGTACCACGACGTAATAGTGGAACATCAGATGGTTCACTAGAGAAAGGGGCTTCCTGATGGTCAATGTCGGAGGGCAGTAACAATTGAGAATCAGTTTGCGCAAGAACAAGCGATGGAGAAGCTTCCTCCTGACACGTAGCATCCGAGGGTAGACTTGGGTTTTCGGTAGGAACGACAGACGTATCCATCGGAGGTGTCGGACCTGTAGTGTTAGTCGAATCAGAGGGAGATGAAAAACGAGAAAGTTCAAGAGGAACCTGTGTGGGATCACCCATGATTGGAGAAAGAACCGATGTCGGAGGGAAGTCGATGAGTTCTCGGCGAGGAGATGAAGCTCCCGGAGGGGGACCAAGGAGCGAAGGGCTTTGTTGCATCCCAATGTGTTGATAGGAATTTCTAAGTCGTTCAGGGTATGGACAAGAATCTGTGCCTTGCTCCACAAGTTTGTCTAATTCCTTCCGATTCTTGTCGCCAAAGTAACACAGATGTTCTTCAAATTTCACATCACGTGAGGTGAAGATTCTTTTTGTCGCAGGGTTATAACATGTATAACCTTTTTGATCCGGTGGATAGCCCAAAAAAACACATCGAATGCTCTTGGGTTGAAGTTTATGTCGTTGCCCTTCATCTACATGAACGAAACAAACACAACCAAACACACGTAAGTGTTCAAGGGAATCTTTATGATTATGAAGTACCTCAAACGGAGATTGATCATCGAGTATTTGTGTTGGTAGACGGTTGATCAGATAACACGCCATCCGCACGACATCACTCCAATATATTGTCGGCACATTACGATGATAGAGGAGTGTTCGAGTGACTTCCATAAGGTGTCGGTTTTTGCGGTCGGCAACTCCATTTTGTTGAGGTGTGTTTGGACATGATCGTTGATGGATAATGCCATGATTGTTGAGGAAGTTTCGAAACTGATGACTTGTGTACTCCCCACCGTTATCTGTTCTAAGACATTTGATCTTTTTGCCAAATTGGTTAGAGATAAAAGCATGAAAAATCTTAAACGTATCAAACACATCACTTTTGTGTTGTAACAAATATAGCCATGTATATTTCGTTTTTTCGTCTATAAACGTGACAAAATATTTAAAATTATCTCTTGAGAAACATGGAGATGTCCACACATCGGAATGAATCAAATCAAATGCATTATCATAAACTGTCTTTGAAATAGGAAACACCGATCTACAATGTTTACCAAGCACACAAGCTTCACAAAAATCGAGGTCAACATCCTTGGTGTTTGGAAAAAGTAATCGGAGAACTTTATTATGAGGATGCCCTAATCTAGCATGCAAAAGAGAGTGGGAAACATGAAAAAGAGAATGAGATGAGGTTTGCAAGTCTTCAACATAGTAGAGATTGCCATGCTTTATTCCTTTGCCAAACGTAGTATCCGACTTAGTATCCTGAAATAATACGCTATTAGTATCAAATATAATGCGACAAGATGTATCATGAATCAATTGAGAAATCGATAACAAATTGGTTGTAAAATCGGGAACATATAATGCTGAGAATTCTATGCCAAATAATCGAACAAGACCATGTCCTTTAATAGAAACATATTTACCGTTAGCAACGGTGACCATGCCAAATGATTGTTCCAATGTAGAAAATAAACTTTTATCATGAAACATGTGTGTGGTGGCACCCGAGTCAATGACAATATGCGGTTTCGAGAGAGAAGAAAAGTTACCACTTTCTTTATCCTTCATAGAAAGGACAAATTGTTTGAATTCCTCCTGTGTGAAGGATATGGTGTTGCCGGCACTCATAGCAGCCCCTTTGGATTGTGGATCTCGGTACCTATTTGGTTTTAGGTGTGGATTGAGAATCCAACATCTCTCCTTGCTATGGCCGAGCTTCTTGCAGTGGGCACACGTCGGAACACGTTTGTCTTTTGGAGTTGAGAAGATCGGCGGATTCTTGGTGGTGTAGTTGGCCATTGCCAATGGACCGCCAAATAAGTTCCTTCCACCCTCCTCCGTATTGATCATCATACATACCTCGGAAAAAGACGGAAGTTTGGATTGACGCAAGACATGGTAGACCAAGTCGTTGAATGATGGATCCAATGTAAGGAGCAATCCGAAAACTTTGTCCTCCTCGGTTCGTTCGAGACAAACTTTTGCATCAACTGTAGGAGGCCGGATCTCCTCAAGCTCGTTCCACAAAGCCGTGTACGTTCCTTGGATTTTGGTGAAAGGCTGGCCTTGCTGCTGCAATTGTGACAACTTCTTTTTTATTTCGTAAATACGACTTATATTGGATAAATTACCGTAAACTTCCTTTAGTGCATCCCACAACGTCTTTGCGGACTCCATGGAGATGAATGATTGTAATACGGTTGGATCAAGGGAACCTTGCAAAAGGACCAAGGCAAGTTGATCATCTTGATGCCGTTTTGCTTTCTCCTCGGTATGAGATGGTCTTTGTTGAGTTCCAGTCACCGGAGCCTCTCCTTCGGCCTCGATTTGTGAAGGTGGAGAGGAAAATTCTCTGTCGGTGATATGACTCCATAGACCTTTGCTACTAAGCGTAGCTTTGGCGGCTTTCGACCAAAAGAAATAGTTTTCACCGTTGAGGGTGATCGGGATCGGCTTTGACATCGCCTCCATGATATCAATGGGGAGATTCGAAACGTATCGATGTGAAGAAATTGAGAGAAAGGGTCAGGAAAAAAAAAACAAAGGGAACGTGTATCGGATCTTTAACGCTCTGATACCATAAAGAATTTCAAGATGAGATTTTTGGTTTAGAACAGAAGGAGAAGATTGAATGAAGAAGAACAGAAGCTACGAACATGCAGAACAATTCAGAAAAGGAGTTGTCTTTTATTCTTACTTTTCTCACAAAGAAACATTTACATAATATAAATTTTCTTAGTCTACAAGAAAAGGAAGGTACGTTGTAGAATATACAATCAAAGATATTTACCATATAGGCTGATTAAATTATGCCTTAATATATTACATATAAAGATCTTCATCAGAAGAATGCGATTCTCCTCCAAATACTCTCTTTGCTTCTGAAGGTTTGCTCTGTTGCGTGTTGGTTAAGTTATCCAAGTTGTCCTTGTCTCAAGTGCAACTCTCGGTTGGTTGATCTTCTTGTATGTGCGATTTGGTTTGTTCTTCAACATTTTCTCGTCTCGATTTCGAATAATAAGATATCGAGGATAATTTCTAATTAATTTTACTTAGTGCTTTTTTTTTAATTATAGTTAGTTTTCTTTGGAGTTCATTTTTTATAAGAAAAACATTGTTTTAATTTTGTCTAATGTATCATGATTTTTGTTTATAGCGATACGTTTTCACGTTATGATGAGATTTATGGTTCAAATATTCAGAGAATACTAAAATTTTTCATAGGTTTCATTGGAGATATATGGACTATTGTCGTTAAAGAATAATAATTAATTATATTAAAAAAAAATATACTCATTTATCATTTTTTTTATCCCCAACAACCTAAAATACTTCATTTTGGGATTCTACTGCAAACCCTCCAGCTGATATATTTAAATTTTATAATTATCTAGATTTATGAAATTCATAATTTCCTTAATAACCAGCTTAAGTTTCAATCCCATCTAGTTTTTTCATTATCCGGCGATTTTAGTTATTTATTCACTGTTCAAAAAGCAAGCCGTACGTCCTCGAGCACAAATCTAAATCTCGAGGCACCATGATTTCACAAAATGGATACGAGAATATTCTGAGTCATTAATTTTTATTTGTTTCTTGTAAATCGATATTTCACAAATACATTGGGAATTCCAATATGGAAACTAATGACCATTATACATTCACTAAATAAAAAAAGGTTAAAGTTAATATGAATATTTTTGGACCATTATCTGTAAATGGAATGCACTTTACAATTTACCGTATGGACAAAAGAAGAATCAATTTTACAATTTATCATATAAAAAAAAAAATCCATTACAAGATAAAAAGAAAAAAAAATCTCCATCGCCCTTTGTTCCCGTAACCGAGGAAAACTCGAGTGCTTCGGACAAAGATCGTCAAATTCGGGAGTTTTTCTTTCACGGACTTCACCGGTGTTAAGGGCAAACAAAAAAAATCTTCAGATAGATTCCGGCCGGACAAATCTTCTTCGATCCGGATCCAAAAACCCATCTCATATAGATCTGCATAACAGGCGGTTACTCACTGATCCAGATACAAAACGGCCCTTTTGCTTCTTCTTGCTTCCTCTAATGGCGGATCATCAACACGGCAAGTTCTCCTTCTTCTTGTTCTCTTTCGTCGTCTCCTTAAGTGTACTTCTATCTTTGTCTTCAACCGGGTCTCTGGTTCTTGCAACAACCTCTGGTTCTGTCTCGATTACACAAGAGACCGATGATGTTTGTCCTGATGGAGGTTTAATCAGTAGTAAATCCGACGGGCAAACTGATCTGTTGCATAAACTCGAGGATCTGGTTAGGAATCTTACCGAAGTAGTTGCTAGATTAGATGCTAGGCTGTCTGAAACTCAGGTTTCGCAGCGTGTTGGCGAGGATTGCGATTTTGGGAGATCGAGGAAGCCATTGAAGGAGAGGAGTGAGATTGGTCAGAGAAAAAATGGTGATGAAATCGAACATGACAGAGATGATGCTAATGATGAAGAAGAAGAAGATTACAGTAGTGGAATTAAGGAGAAAGCTAAGGCGTTCACTGTTACCAAGTATAGTTCACTTTGGTCGGAGAGGTTTCAGTTCACTTCGGCTGTGAAGTTAGATTCAGATGCGACTTGTCTTAACGTTTTGCCGTTTCGTGATCACGAGGGTTTAAGCAAATACTTTGCAGTTGGGGATTCAAGAGGTAGGGTTTATGTGTTCTTGAGAAATGGGGATGTTCTCGTTGAGTTCTTCACCGCCTCTGATTCGCCCATCACGGCTATGATTTCATATCTTTCGGCGTATAAGAACGACAGTTTCTTGGTGACGGGCCATCAGAACGGGGATATCTTGCTGCATAGAGTCCAGGAAAGATCGAACGGGGAGGATTGGAACTCGGTTTCGATGGAACATGTCGGCAAGTGTTCTGGCACAGGAGATGCAGAAGATGTCGGCGTGCCAGTCACTCTCTTGGAAGTGCATCACGTTGGTCGAGTTAGGTATATATTGGCAACGGATCTCAGCGGGAAACTCACGGTTTACACGGAAAACGGGACGGTTTATGGGTCAGCCATGCCGACGAGTAGGCCACTCGTGTTCTTGAAGCAAAGGCTGTTGTTTCTCACCGAGACTGGTGCTGGCTCACTAGACTTGAGGAGTATGAAGATCAGGGAATCTGAGTGCGACGGTCTGAACCATTCTCTCGCAAGAACGTATGTTTTCGACGCCACAGAACGGTCCAAAGCGTACGGGTTCACATCCGAGGGCGAAATCATTCACGTTTTACTTCTGGGCGACGTAATGAACTTCAAGTGTCGGGTTAGATCCAAGAGAAAGTTCCAGATGGAGGAGCCCGTCGTTATCCAAGCCATCAAAGGCTATTTGCTCGTCGTCGATGAAGAAAAGGTCTTCATTTACAACGTATCTACCCAACACTATGTCCGAACGAGCAGTCCCCGGCTTACTTTAACAGCGGGTTTAGACGAGATAAGATCCACGTTCTTGAACCGTCACGACCCGGGAGGCAGAAAGGTAACGCCTTTGATGGCCAGTGACCGAGACAAGATCGTGGTAATGAGCTTAGGAGATGGATACATTGCGACGTACAGATCGAAACTTCCGGTTTTCAAAGGAGAGTTCAATGCGACGATGCTATGGAGCAGTCCGGTGTTTTTCTTCCTACTTTTCCTCTTCGGGGCATGGCATTTCTTCGCCAAGAAGAAAGATGCGCTCACTTCTTGGGGACCCGACGATCCTTTCGCCTCTGAACGCTCCGACGATCTCATGGAACTACGGAGAAACAGAACCACAGCCATGGTGGGTTCTTACAGTTCGGGCGGGTCCAATGACTCGAGCTCGAGGGCTCAGGTGGATCAGAACTACAGAGCCACCGGTCCCGAGATTAAGTATCGTGGCTCGAGCCTTCAATCGACCGGATTTGGTCAGAGAAGAGAGAGCTTGTTTGTTAATAACAACAAGGTTGTGGAGGACGAGAGTTAGTAGATCCTTTGGTTACATTTTCTCCTTTCTCCTTTTATGACCGGACGGTTAAGACACACACCGGTTAGTTCCTTGAGTTGTATTGTAATATGGACACCCGGGTTAAGAAATTAAATTTACGGGTTAGCCCTTCTGTTCGGTTTAGCTCCGGTTTAGGAAAAATCGTATTGGCAAATGAATCTGAATGTTTTTCAGTTTTGTTTTGGGGGCGGTGAATTTGATTTTTTTTTTCTCAACTTTAGAAAACTATGTTTTAGAGAATTTTATATAAATAGATGAATTTTTCACCAAAAACTTTTCATAGAAAACTATGTGGTAGAATTTGTTAGTTTTTTTAAAAATTGATATATTTATATAACATTTTTAGTGTCATGTATTTCTCTATTAGTTTTGGAAGTGTTCAATCTATTTATACGAGATTTTATTTCAAAATGGTCAAAATTATCTTATTTTCTCTCGATTTTTACTAGTCAAGTTGATTGAGCAAATATTTTAGAGGAATTGGATGAAATTGTTAAAATCTTGAAAAAAAAATCGGACGAATTATTAGTATTAAAAAAAATATTAGATAATTTCAATATTTTCAAGGGAAACCAGATAAATCGTAAGAATTAAAAAGACTTATTAGTATTTTCTACTTTGTATAATTATTTGTTGAATGTCAATTTTTGTTAACTAATTTAATGACCAGTCATCTATATGTGTGTCGTTCAATTTTTGTAAAAACAAATTAAGGTTCATTTTTAATTTTTAATAAATATCATACATACTTATTTCGTAATATTAAATGTAATTATGTCGTGATTATTCAATCGTGAAATCCAGATCTGATTTACGAGTAGTGTAAATTAATTTACAAATGAGAAGCCAAACGTAGGCTAATTAATTATTATCAGAGGGTTTACAAAAATCCAGCAATTTAATCCAAATTTATAGCTTAAGAATAGAATAATTAACTCTAGTAAGTTAATCCTCTCTAATATTGATTAAACTCGTTGTTGTGAAAGATAAAGAATAATTAATCGTATTGAATAATATCACGCAGAATCTCCAGTTCTTATGTATGAAAATAAAACTATATTAATTAATATAAAAAGGCGGAAATATACCATTCACGATTGTGACACGATAAATAACGCCAATCATATTCAATAAAAATATTCCTACCACTTTCTTGTCGTCATTTTAGGCTAACCATTAATACCATATATTTTTGTCGGAAAACATTTATTTATTTTTGTTACAATCAAATTCTAATCGTACAGCTTTCGCTCGAATAATTATTTTGCAATTATTTTACTATTTTTAACAATTTTGTTTTTATTATTAACAATCCAAGAACGAAATCAACGCTACCAATATATTCCATTTGAATTTTGATCTTCCAATTTTTTTTTTGGGTAGATTGATCTTCCAATTTAGATGTTATTACATGTTTCTTTTTTTATTTGCTAGTTTTTTTCTAACGATTTTGTCTGAAAAAATGTGAAATATAATGTTAAAAATACAAAGAATTCCATACAAAAGTTGTTAAACCGAGACAAAAATGATCTGACCAAGATAGATATATATATTCACAACAAAATTATTAATAAACTCATAAAATGATCTTTTCATGCACATGCATGTGCACTAGTCATGATGGTAAGTGGGTTTAGATGAGCTTTTAAATTTAATTTTATTTATCAAATTTTTATTACAAGTATACCATTTTTTTAACGCATTAATAACAAGATGCTTGGTCAAACAAAAATATAAAGCAAAACTTCCCAACGCATTAAGTCTCTAACCAATACGTTTGTTTCTATTAAATTTCATGTAGCTTTAAAACGTGGTTAATGCCACTAAGACAAAAATTACTTATAGCTTATACACTCATTCCTTATACATTTCAATTTTAGCCCAATATTATCATTTACTAGATTTGGTTTCATTTTCATATTTTAAATTTATATTAACTACTTAAGATTTTTTATAATTATATTTCATTTGTATAAATATTATAACTCTAAATATTTTAGGATATGTCTGTTATTTTCTAGAAGGGGATTGAATTGTCATTAACCATCTTCTGGGTAAATTTCCTGTAAAACAGATTTATTTATCACTTGCTCAAAGTATAGTTGTATCAATGATATAATTCTTTTAGTGGTTAGCTATATAGCAGAAAGTTTTAATTTACAACCCATAAATTTTTTTTATAAAACATAAAACTGTATGTAATTTTATAAATGATTTATTAACAAAAGATTGAATATGGAAAGTAGAATGACATCCCTATATAGAAACCATCATTCCATTTCTTCATACTTATTTACCAAAAAATACAAGTTAAATATAATTCAAAGCTTGAATTGATTATAGAAGAATTAGTCAAATAATCTAAATTTTTAAATCTTAAAGAAGAATATTAATTCCAATAACTGTATTAATTTTCCCTTGCGCTGAATTTCCCATCTAAGGATGAACCGGAACCAAAGCTCGTCTAGCTCGCAATACGAAGTTCATTTCATTATGACCGTTGGATAAGTCAACAAAATACAGACCCCATCATCTAACGGTTTAATTTCATCGTTTGGCGGAGAGCAGGATAAATAAACATACACCGAGAAACATCCGAACAAAACTTACCTCCTCAAATCGATCGTCGTCTTCTCTGCAGAAGAGGCCAAAACCCATCTCTCCAACCTCAAAAAGCCGAGAGCTCTGACCAGGGACCAACCTAAAGGAACTAGGGTTTCTCAGACCACCAAATCAGACGACCTTTTGCATTATGTCATAGGAAAACAATCGCAGAGAAAGGGGTGGTCTCATTCGCATCTGGCCTGGGTCTTCACTCTTTGGTTCTATCAGCGAAAGAGAAGCTGGTGGGGAAGAAAAGTCAACGGTCATGGCGGGTCGTAGAGAAAGAGTCCAACAGGTCCGCGGATCCCGAATTGTGATCGCAATCGTGATCGGTGTTCTTGTCGGGTGTGTTTGCGCCGTCATGTTTCCACGTGGGTTCTTCAACTCGGGTTCATCGCTCGCAGTCAAGGATCGCCTCGAGAAATCGAGCTTTCAGGTTCTGGATCTTGTGCCCTAATCTTTGTACAATGGAATTTTTTGTGCTCTAGTCTACGATTGATGCCCTGAATTTCAAATGTTCTGTGCACGCAATTTAGGCAATGTAGGCATTGATTGGATTGCATCTCTGGGAAATGCTGGAAATTATTCAGGGTGTTGTACTTTGTCGGAATTTTGTCCAATATTTTACTGATACTTATTCTCTAGATGACTACATAATCTGAACTCAGAACTATCAGTTGAGTTGATATAATTTGAGGTTTGAAAGTGAATTTCTTGGTTTGGTTTCTTTCATCTTTCCAGGATTCTGCGGGAAAATCGAGCTTATAGATTCGATTGCATCTCTCCATCCTCGCGAATCTATATAATGCATTATGGAGTTCCTTATTAACGGTCCTCTGTTGCTGCATTCATTCTTGAACTTTTGGTTTGGGTTTCAGAACTCGTAGATGATAATAAATTACGCACATCTAAGTATCTAACCGATGCAACTTTCAAATGACATGTCTTTGTGATGTCAATGGGTGTTTCGCTAGGCATTGCTTTCGAAGTTTTCTTGTCATTTTTTACCATCGTTTGTCTGACATTCGTATTTGTAGGCAAAAATGGTAAGTTTCTTGGTGTTAGATGATTGGGTCAGGGAGCTTACAGAAAACTTTGTAGTTTTCTATGTTCAATCTCACTGTTTCTTGGTTTTTCTTCAGGGAGGATCGCCGTCATGTGAATCGTCTGAGCGGCTCAAAATGCTCAAAGCAGATTTCATGGCTCTCTCAGAAAAGAATGCCGA